TCCTTCCTGTCTTTAAATACAACATAACACCAAGCATGCAGAAAATGCACCTATAAAGAGGCACCTGAAAGAGGTCCATCCAAAGAAAGGTCACCACTTTCCTGCCTGCACTGAGTTCAGCTTTCCAACCACACAAAGGCAAAGCATTTGCTGTCGTTACACACACAGAACAGTGCTAACTATCCCAAGCTGTGGTTTGGGATAACCATAGCCCAAGTGTCACCAAACTCAGCTGATGAGTCGCAGGCAGCAGAGCGAGGCAGACTTTACATCCCTCACTCTTCTTGCCTTCCAGCAGAGAACTATCAAACTCAATACTGCCAACGGAGGCTGTTTTATTTCCTCAGCTGAAATGAGAAGCTGAACTTGTCGGCACCACGTGGCAGCAACCACATTTGCTTTGCCAAATCACTCTTTTCACTCATGTGATTTGCCATTTACTGAGGGTAACTATTTTTTCAAGCTCCAAAAATAGCCAAGTTGAAGATATGAAGAGACTTTTTAAGGAGTTGGTATTCTGGAAATCAAGTTATGCCATTTTCAAATTGGTGGTAAGACTTTAAAGCAAGCTTTAACATCTGAGAAATGGAAGACAGTGATTAGGACGCACCCAGGAAACTCCACACATCCATCCAAATCATTAGCTGGAAAGTATCTTCTGAAAGTATCTTCCTCTCTTTTCCTTAAATACACAGAAGCAAAATTAACAGCCAATAACGAATTCCACATAAGCACCAAAACAGCTTACAAAATAAAAAGGCATGCAAATTAATTACTGCATCAAACATGACACTTAATTGCAGCTCCCAGCTTTACTGCAGCACGTTCACTTTGCTGCTAACATCTTCAACAAGTATTAAATTACATCTGTAAAAATCCAACCAACCCTCCTACTGTACACTCGTGTGCATGAAACTCCATCCCATCTCCTGTGAACTTGCTTTACAAGCTGCTGCTCCTAGTTACTGCTCCCAGAGTCTCACAATACTGTTCACAAGCCTTTCAATTCTTGCTTTCAGCTACAAGCTCCACTGTCACTCCAAGCCATTGCTCCACTGTCAGAACACAAACTACACAGAAAAACATCCTCCAAAAATTTGTTTTGCTGCCTGTCCAGTGATAAAGAGATCTTCTGCTTAAAATTTCCCTTTAGAAAGGGAATTGTAGGAGAGGCTGTCAGATAATAAAGGATACTTCAAGTCTCTGTACCACTTTGACGTGTTTATCATCTTTTTCTCCTTCCTCTTTTGCTTTACTCTGCGATGAAATGCATAAACAGGTGAAAACAACTTACATCAGATGAAAGACTGAAAGCAATTCTACAGAAAGCATCAAGGACAGGGAGACAGCTCTCTCATCTTTCATTCATAAAATCTGCTTTTGAGTAAAGGTACTCAGATGAAGTCATTTTAAACCTCATTTACAGCAGCCCATATAAGTGCTGTAAATATGCTTTTAAAAAGAAGTTTTCCCTTTCTAGTTAAAGAATTGTGCAAATCCATGCAAACCCTCATTGCAAGTACATGTAGCATCACTGAGAATTCTCTACAAAGATGCAAAATTAATCAGTTTTGCAATACAGAATAAATACAGAAAAGAATCTGCTCCAATACGAATGCATATGTTTCCATACTTCAAAAGATTTCAAAAGCACTGAAATTTGAACTAGATTTCTCTGGTTTTAAGATGAAATACTGATCTCAAATTACCACGTCTAAAATTGAGAAGAGATAATAACTGAATAAATTCAGGTAACTGCAGTAAATTTAAGGGAGGAACCAGATGAGAATCATGCATTAAAAGGAGCTCATACCAGGATTCAAGCTAAAAAGCAAAAAAGACATTTAATACCCAAAAAAAGGGCTGGCATTTTTATAGACTGAAATAATAGAAGAGCAACACCAATATATGACCATGATGGCACACCTGACAGGCTGAGGAAACGCAGGGCCGAATTCATTTTTTAAATACAGACACCAACTCTTATTTGTATCCTCTTTCATAAATGAAGTTGGCAAATTAATTTTCCATGGCACGCTCTGCCAAGTAGTTCATTTTTAATATCTCTTCAAGTCACAGCAGTGAGGAGGAAAAAAAAACCCTGATCCATACCGGGGAAATAAAGGTTAGTGTTTTTCAAAGCAGACAGGCTCCACAGTGCCTATAATTAAAAGGACACATCCTGATAACAGGCACAGAAAGAGCTGCAAACGGTATTCTAAAATCAAACGGGGCTAAAGACTTAGATACTGGTCTTTAAATGCAATTACACACAGGTTTAAGGAAAGCTGGGAGTTAATCTAAACAAGGTATTACATGGGTCAGATGTTTCTTCAAAGGCACACTACATGGAATTTTACAGCTTCTTCACTGGCCCAATTATGTCATCACTTGCTTTTTTCTCCCAGATCTTCCTTTGCGAGGCTCAGAATCACTTGGGATGTATTGATAAGATCTTAAATGATATAAATATGTGCACACATGTGTGTGCAAGAGAGACATTTTATATGCACACACTTGCATATATATTTACAGTACATTTCCTTAAATGCTTACGTACTTCCAACAATTTTACATAATTGTGTACAATTTTACAACACACTACCCCTTCATTTCCTGTAAAAGAGAGGGAATAATGTAACTAATCAGCACAAAATTCCCAAGAGAGCTCTAGTTAGAGACGTTCACTGGCCAGAGATACAAGTGAGGAGCAAGGGAGCAGCAGCAACAAACCCTGCACTGCCTTCAGGGAGGGATGAGCTCTGAGCTCCACAGCTAAAGAAATGCCACGGTCGAGACAACACGATCCCCTGTCCAGAGACACTTTGGCAGTAGAAACAGAAGCAAATCTCACAATGTTTTTAATTTTACAGGCAGATATACAGGGAGAAACACCACTGCCTGTTATCCAAGCCAACCGACCGCTGCTGCCACGCAGAATAATTATTTTTGGTCTCCATTTGATAGCCATATCCTGCTCCATGTAAAGCATCTAAATGATTTTCCAACTGCAGCTAAACAAAAGTACAGTCTACCTGGAGATGACAGATAGAAACAAAGACACAACGTGTATGGGAGAAGAAAGGATATGATCTTTAGCTGGCCAAATAACAGAGGAAGGAGGTATTTCTGGCTATTGTTACCCAGAGGGATTTAAACAGGCTGGGAAAAACTGCCCATCCTGACGAACAGCCAACATATGCTCTTAAAATCAGGGTACAGTCACGTGGTAGATGTGATTTTCCAAAACACTGAGTATCAATGAGCTTAAAATTCTTATTTAGCTGGGATCCCCTGAAAGCTTAGGGTTTGGGTTTTGTTTTGTTTTTTCATTGGTTGGTATTAATTAAAAAAAAAAAAAAAAGAAAAACAAAAAAAAACAGGACCAGCAAAGAGAAGGATCAGTGTCCGAGTTTAGAAAGGTCAGAGGAAAGAAAAGCAAATAAAAAGTTCCTGAGAAAATTGACTGCTAACAGCACAATGGTGACACTGTGAGCTGCAATACCTCCATCTGTCTTCTACCACCTTCACGTATGTATTGACTAAAAAATATAATCAAAATGAAGCAGTGTTGGAACTTGTCTTCCAGCACTCCTCAAAGACAAGCTGCTACTCATTAGAACTCTCTGGCATCTCAGGAAGACGTGATGAAAGCCACTAAGACAGTCAACACCTCATGATCAACATAATCAGAGACTGCTGATAGAGTTAGTATTTTCAATATTAAGAACCCAGCCTCTCCCAGAAACCTGTTTATTAATACTTTTAAAAATAGAGTTTGGCCACTGCTATTTCTTCTGATTTAAGCTACGGCACCAAGAAAATATTTAAACATTTCCTCGCCTCCCATCACCATAGCAGTTCTTTCTCACCTCATATGCATTGGGTTCTTTGTTTTGTCTCCTTCCTCAAGTCTCAGCTTTTTTTTTTTTTTTTCTCCTTCCTTTCAGTGCTCCTTTTTGTCCTCTCCCCCATCTTCAAGGCAGGCTATTTATTTTAAAGTTATCTCCTTCTCCCATTAGCACAGTTTCTTCTTAAACAAGGTTTTTGGAAAACCACCATAGCCTTCCTGTCCACTTGTAAGCACTATCACAAGAGGCCCCCCGAGAGAGTTAGGAATTTCCAGACATAATTAATATTAAACAATCACACTGCAGATCTGCTGCTAAGATCACTTGATCCTGCAGGCTCGAGGGCCTTTCACCACTGACACAGCTCCTCTGCACACACTGTCAAAGAAATGAGAATATTCACAAGCACGTACCAGTAGGACCAACCAGCCCTCATTTATCAGAGAAGTGGAGGTGGGGGAAGGCGCACAGTTTGCCACTGACTTCGCAGGCTCACCGCCCCTCGCAGGCCTGAGCTGCTCCCACAATGCATGAATGCTTCGAAGCAAAACCACTGAGACCAAAATTGCCCTAAGTTCAACTGGAAGAGCCACAACAGCATTGCTGACCTTCCTTCTCCCACCATACTCACTCTCCTACAGCACTTCTTGGATGCCAAAGGGAAGGCACACCACAGCTTCACAACAAGTTCAACCTGAGTGAAGGCAATACTTGAAAAGAGAAGCTGGGGCAGAATGAAGTCCAGGTTTGGGGGAGAAAAAAAAAAAAAAAAAAGGAAGTCTACCTGAGAATAAATATTAATTATGTCATTATGATAAATAATCTGAACTACAATCACCACCAGCATACCCACGTTCCACGGTGTTCTTTTGTCTTCCTCTGTACAATGGGAATATACACACTGTCACAGATTGTTAAACACAATTTACCCACGCAGTAGTTTCAGAACATAATCAATACAACCCACCCCCTCATGAGAAATACAAGCATTTTCATAGGGTACCTGCATACGCAGGGACCTGACAAACACCATTTCTAGTTAGACAAAACCACTGCACCGCTCCACTTCACAGAACAGCTGTAACGAGAGCTGCAAGTTAGCGCACATCGAACTGTTCATCACTGAAATAAAGTTACAGGTGGCCTTACCTCTCATCTTCCCCATCTACGAGGGGCGTCGCCAAGGGCAGCACCTTCAGTGGGAAGAGGGAGGCCGAGGCTGGCACGTTACTGCTACTGCCATCAGCGATGGCCGACGCTCCAACGCCGCTCTCCCCGCTGGCAGCTTGAGGTAAACCAACGAGGGAAGGTTCTGTAGGGCGCCTGCCATCTTCCATTTGGCTTACAACTGGCTGGGCTAGTGATTGTGCTGGGAACTGGGTAGAGCTCAGCGGTATCTGCTGTGGCACGCTGGGTGCCACCGGCATACCTATACTTGTTGATACCAAAGGAGGCTGACTAACGTTCTGAGCCAGATTCCCATTCTGCACAGCTGAAGCCTGGGCTATGCTCTGTGGCTGTCCCAAACCTATAGAAGCAGAAGGTATGCCAGGGGGCACAGCCGAACCAGCTTGACTCGGTGCAGCAACAGTACTAGCAGAAGGTATGGGGCTAACTGCAGGCAGCTGCTGGCCAGTCATTCCTTGCACCACTGATTCCACCGCTTGTGCCTGCGGCTGTACAGGTAACAAAGTGTTTTGCTGAGCAATAACCATTTGCTGAGGAAGGCCTGAAGCGCTAGCCTGTAATCCCTGCTGCATTATTCCTGTCTGCACAGGCTGCACCACTTGCGAAGATGGAGGAGCAGCGGTTGATGGCATAACTGGAGGTGGAATTTGGTTTGCAGCAGGTGGTGGTTGCACCACAGTGGCCACATTTGCTTGCTGCCCAACGCTCAACATCTGCCCACTGGTACCCACACCTGGTATCGCTGCCGGGGCGTGCGCAGCAGGCTGAGCCGGGGCAGCGGCTGGGTGCGCCGGGACCGCAGACTGCATGCTCGGGACCTGGGCAACAGGAACCGGCGGCCCTGCCCCTACTCCTGCAGGACTGGGCTGCATAGCAGGTGCCGGGGGCTGAAGGATCTGCTGATGCTGAATATACTCTGGCACAGCCCCCGTGACAGCGTTTTGGTTCACCGACTTAACGTGACCTGTGGCCATCTGCGTAGGAACCGCTGGCTGCTGCTGCTGCTGCTGTCCGTACTGCAACTGCTGCTGTTGTACAACTGGCAGAGTCTGCACAGGCTGCGCCGGCTGAGAATAAGGTAACTGCTGTTGAGCCATACTTTGAATGGCAGGCTGCTGGTGGCCCAGAGCTGGGGATACACCTAGTAGATTAACCGGGGCTGGCTGAACCCCAGTAACAGTGGTTAGACTGGCCTGTGCAGGAGGTTGGACCCCTGGCTTCTGCTGCGGATAGTTTATCTCTTGAGAATGCAGCTGGACTTGTGCAAGCTGTGATTGGGAAACACTCTGTGGTATACTAGATGCTGGAATTGCTGGAGGAGCAGCGCTGCTAAAATCCATCTGCTGAGGACCCACACCTTGAAAGGCTTGCTGCTGTACCACAGTAGGTGCTCCCATTTCTCCACTTCCCACACTTTCTGTATAGTGACTCAGTGTGCTTACATTGCTGCTAACAGAACTCCCACTGGTGCTCTCCCTTTCAGAAGTCGCTTCAAGCGGGTTTTGTTTTATCGTCTCTACTGCTTTGTTTACTGCTACTCCTTCTGAAGCTGCAACAGTGTTTTCTTTATCATAGAACTCAGTGCATGTCCATCTACCTTTTTTGAAAGGTTCAGAACTAGAATCTAATTTTACAACCCTAAACCTTGAGGTGCCAGATGCGGGCTGCTGTTGGCTGGATCCCGCGGCCACTCCTGCACTCGGATTAGTAACATTGTTAACGACACTAGAGGAAGCACTCGTACCATTGCCAACACCACTCAAGATATTCACATTAACATTGCCACTAGTTCCAGACAAAGCATTTACATTACCAGTACTTGTGATGTTGCTTAAATTCATAGTACCAAGCACGCTGCTTGCCACACTAGAACTACCTCCGCCCATATTATTCAAGGTACTAGTTCCAGTAGCAGAACTTACACCTAGACTGCCAGGTGTACTTGTAGTGCGGATATTAGACACGACAGATGCAGGGGGACCGGTGGATGATGCAGCAGAACCTGGCGCAGCTGATATAACATTGTCAGAGCTTCCAGTTGTCGATAGCTTTCTAAACGATGGGCTGGGTGGTGGTCCTCCAGAAACTGGGGCGCTGCCCACCCCGGGATGCGATGGGTGATGGTGTCCATGATGGTGGTGGTGAAGATGATGGTGGTGATGGACGTGATGGGGGTGAACACTTCCGTTGATCACAACGCTCTGCTGCGGATGATGAGGCAGAGAAGGGTGCTGCTGAGGAAGATGAGGCTGGTTTGGAGAAACGGCCCCGGGAGTCTCTGCCTCTTGGAAGTTATTTAAAGTCTCTTCAGAAGAGCTCCTCTCAGGTTCACCCAAGTCAGTGGCCCTGGATAAAGAAACATCCAAGATTTCTGAAGAAGACAGGTCTTCCGTGTGAGACTCATCCAGGTCATCGTAGCTTTCCGTATCTTCAGCTATGCTGTTATTAGAGCTCATACTGGCAGATATTTGAGCAGGGGTCACGCTGGTAATCTGGAAGCCACTTTTCTTTTTCATCTGTGCTCCGGTCTGCGCGAGAGGCTGCGGCTGGAGCTGAGACTGCGAGAGGAGGTTCAGGCTTTGTGGAGGAGGGGGTGTCGGCTGCAGGCCCGCCGATGAGGATGCTGCAGGAGATGGAGGCGGCGGCTGGACCAGCAGGGGCGGCTGGTAATCCTCGGCGGAGAGGGCAGCGCTCCCAACGCCGGTACCTGGTGCAGTGGGAGCAGTAACGCAGCTGCTGCCGCTGCTACTGCTGCTGCCCCTTCTAGGAAACATTGCCGGGTGCGCCATCTTCCTAGCACTAATGTCTGCGGCTGAGTCAGGCTGGTGCATTGTATCAGGCGTATTTTAAGAGCGATCCCCCGGCATGGAGAGAGACAGACACGCACACAGTTAGCGGGGCGCGGAGCCACGCAGCACCCCGGCACCGCCGCCACCCCCCTCCTCCGAGACAGGGAGGGGGCGAGGAGCTTTCCTCCGCCGCCTCTGAATGTCACACTTCCAATCCTCCGCCATTCACTTTCTTTCTCCCTCTCCAACCCCACTCCCCCCCCCCCCCCCCGCCATCCCCCACCCCCTTTTCGCTCCCCCCTCCTCACCTCCCCACCCCCCGCCGGCGCCTCTCCGCGGGGTGGGCTGAGGCCGGAGGAAATGCCCGCGTTAGCCCGGGGCCGAGCCTGTGCCCTCCCCGAGCCGGCAACCGGCAGAACCGCCCTCCCCGCGCCGGGCCGCCGCCTCAGCGGAGCGAGGGCAGCCGGCGGGCCTCGGGGCAGCGCGGCCGGAGCGCGGCGGAGATACGTACGGGACTGGCGCACAGCGGGGCGGCAGCGGCGGGCTGAGCCGGGCAGGGACATCCCCGTCAGTGGCAGCCATGGAGCTGAATCATTTTGGGTAGGAGAGAGACGGAGCGAGGAGGAAAGAAAAGCGACGGCAGCCCGACGAGAGAGTCCATGAAAAGGAGGAGGGAGGGGGAGCCGGGCGGGCAGCCGCTCTCCTCCCTGTGTCTGGCTGTCTCTGGAGGCGGCTCCGCTCCGCACGCTCTTCCTTCCCCCTCCGCCTCCTCCCCTTTATAACAGGCGGTACCGCTCTTCCTCCGCAACGCCCGGCCTGCCCTTGCCTTCCTTTCTTCTTTCCCTCGGGCTCTCGCGGCTCCCCGGCCGCCGCGGGTCTCTCCCCGCCCGGCCCCGTCTCCTCGCGGAGCGCTGAGGAGGAGGAGGGCGCTGCGCGGGTCTGCGGGGGGGAGGGGAAAGCTCGCCAAAGGGGAGGGCAGGCGAGAGACAACGTAAGATGGCGGCGGCCGCGCATGCGCGCCCCGCTGGCAGACATAAAGCCCGTCTGGCTCGGGCTGACGGAAATAGGCTCGGCTCGCGTGGCGGAAATTGCCGAGCGGCGCCGAGCCCCGTGCGGGAGGAGGAGGAAGGGCGGGGGTGTCCCCGCGTGGCGGCGCTCCTGAGTGGGGAGGGGGCGTGAGGTGGACGGGGGGGCGCGCGCTGTGGAAATGGCGGGCGGGCGCCTGGCGCCCCAGGTGCTTCTCTCCTCCGTCCCGCAGCATGACTCTGCCTCACATGACGCGCCCGCCCCCCTCTCCGCCGCAGATTTATTCAAGTTATTCATCACCTTCGTCTTCCTCCCCTCCCTCGGTCCAGAATATTCCTCCATCCTCCTCCCTCCCGTGCACGGGGAAGCTGGAGCCGCCTCGCTCGGGGCCGCGCTCCCTTTGTGCCGCCGCGCATCCCCCTGGCGGAGCGTCCCCCGCCCCCCGAAATGGCTGCCGTGGGGACGGCGTCTCGGTGCCCCCGGGGCTGATGGGGTGAGCCTGGTGCCGGGTAGCTGGAGGCTGGTATTCTGGGTGAAATTGCGCCTGTGGCTTTGTAGAATCGATCATAGAATTATTAAGGTTGGAAAAGACTGCTAAGATCATCCGGTCCATCAGCCCATCCCCACCGTGCCCACTGGCCATGACCATCGGTGCCACATCCACACGGTTCTCGAGCACAGCTGCAGGGACAGTGACTCCACCACCTCCCTGGGCAGCCTGTTCCAATGCCTCACCAGTCTGAGAAAAAGAAAATCCTGAATTCCTAATCTTCCTAAATTTTTTAAGCAGCGTGTATACAGGAGCTTCTGAAAAGAGCACGAGAGGGAATGTTTCAAAATAAAATGACACCTCCTTAGGATATTTTTAAATTGCTCGATAAAATTGAGGTGACATCCAACTGATACGCGGTCTCTGTTTCAGTGATGGTGTCTCAGCAGGGAAGAAAGAGCTCCTATTCCATCCCGGAGTCAGGGGTATTGAAGCTTGACATCGGCCTGGGCTACCTGCATCTTGTCACGTTGGTGCTGCTTTAGTCCTCCCCTGTCCAAAACTCAACCTGACATGGCTGCCATCAGACCTCTGAAGACACTAATGCTTGTGTATTGGCCTTGAGGTTTCCTTTAGCACCAACATGGCTGCTAGTGTGCTCTAGTGAGTGCCCAGCGGGTAGGTAGGTACCTTGTTGCAACACAAGCACAATGAATTCACACCCCAGTCACTGCTCCACCTCTCTTCAGCAGGACTATCTCCAGGAGCACTTTCAGAGCTTCATAGATTGGGTGTTCTGCTTTCCTACAGAGGGAGAAAGGTCTGCACCTTGGCTGCAGGTGGGAGTTGAAGATAGATATCCTTCAAAAGCATGCAGGTTTAGGCTTACCCCATCTGAGTCCGTGCTGCTGGGGACCACTTAGGAGTGGAAGGGCTTGGCAGATTATTTTTGTCAAAGTTGGACTCAATTATTCTTTTGGTTCACTTCCAACTCAGGATATTCTATGATCTAAGATTCTCTTGTTCTCGAGGTGGATGGAGTGCATATCTGTGCCAGGAGAGGTGCTCATGTTTCCCACCTTCTGGCAGCACATCCTCATTTCCAATTGTAGATTTTCATGAGCTGGTATTGTCTCAGTCACGGCTTTGAAATTGTTTAGCTTTCATGAAGGGCAGAGCTTGACTGACTCGGGCTAATTCTATAACCTGACAGTCAACAGGACAATTGGAAAAAGGCAAGAATTTAGTGTTTACTGCAAGTGAATATGTAAATACATTGTGAGGAGTAGTAGGGCTTTAACGGGAGAAGTTGGGAGAGTCCAAACTATGATATCACATAGCTGAGTCAGTAGAGTTCTTGTGGGAGATGTAAATGTGCATTCCTTCAGGCAGAGAGGAGATTTGAGTCTCCCATGTTCACTGTGTGGTGCTTAATCACCAAGATACTAAAAAAGCTGTTTTTCTAGCTCTATTTCAAGAAAAGGGTGAGGATTCAAGGTCACACACAGTGGGAGCTTTTTGCTGTCCCTTCCTGAATTTCAGCCTTCCGTCTTGGCTATCTCTGTCAAGTAGATTATTCAGTTCTCAGTCAGAGTGGAAGACATGTAGTTCTGAGAATAGCCCACCTTTTGCAGCACAATTGCTTTTATATCTGTGCAGATGTTCAGCTCATGTCTCTAGGTGCCTAAAAGGTAGACCTGTAGCCCTTGCTCTCTCCATGCCTCTAGCATGCTGCCTATTTACAGACAGTAGTGCACTCTTTGAAGCACTTGGCATGTAATTAGATAAGATTCTTCCTTTTCTGAGAACAAGGCAATATTATTTTTTAAAGATGATAATCAGAACAGATTGAACTACCTGAACATGTTGTGAGTTGCATACAGGAAAGCATTTTCATGTAACCCTCACAGATTTCGGGAAAAGTCACAAAGGTGCCCACAGTCTATCTACATGGAAATTGATGCAACACTGAGGACTTACAAGTTTTTGAGATGCTAAGTGTGTGTAAACATTTTTGGGATGAGAGCCTTAGGTTGCAAGCCAACTACCAGTATAAATTCCTGTTCTGTCTGCTTACAACTTTCCCAGAACAATTTCCTTGAGGGATTAAGCCTTCTATGATTAGTCTCAGCTCAAAGGTGATATTTTTGAATGTCTGAACAAAGGCCAACTAAAAGCACGTGGTTTATGAAGATGGATAAATCTCTTTTTAACCTTCAAAATCTTTGCAGAAGTTACTCAGATTGAGGTATGGAGTTTGTATGCGCCTCGTAGACATCAATAGGCTTGCAAAAGCTTATTCAAGTAAGTTACCTGTCATCGTTTTGGGTTACATGCTTCTTAGTACAGCATGTGAAACATCTTTAGATTAACTCTACATAGTTATTTTATTCCACAAGAGGAACTGAAGAAATAGACAATGATATTTAGACAAGTGTTAAGTAACTTGCATTATATGATCAGTGGTCAGTTAACAATCCAAATATCTGTTTAGACTAGACAAAGCACATTTGAAGTAGCCTGATGGAAATATTTTATAAATGTTATTCATAAAAATTAATGTCACGTAAGACATTTTTTTTCCTCGCTTATCATTTTTCATCTGGGTACACGCTTACAAGTATACTATTTTTGTGCAAACCTGTTTAAAAATGGATTTCTCAGTTCAAAAGATTTATTTTCACATTCATTAGGAATTGTGAAATTGAAAATAAACTGTTGAAATTCATAATTTGTTTGCTATAAATTTTGTTCAGTTGTTGTTCGAAGTGGGAAAAGAAGTTTCTAACTTAAAAGACCAGACAGTTCAAAATCAGGCAACAACAAAATTAACCACCTTCAATCAGGGGGTTGTTGGGCTGTTAGTGAAATTACTCTGCAGTTATTCCAAAGAAGTCCACCTGCTGTTTTTTAATAGGCTGTATCAGTCTAATTTTGGAAGCAGAGGTGCTCCATCGCTTGGTGGATCCAGCGCCTTGTCCACCATGGTCAGTGCTGGTGACTACAGGGCAGTCCTGCATTGCCTTCATTAACTCATCTGGAGACTGAAGACTGCTGGAGGGTTGCAAGTATAGAGGAATCCCCTCAGATTGCATCTCTTGTGTATGCAGTTGCAAATGAGCAAGCGCGGGTGGGACTGATGGAGCCCTTGCTGCCAGACTGGGAGAGTGAGTGTCTGGAAGAACTCTGTTTCAATGTCAAAATCTTGTAATTGAGGTTAGTTCAAGAAAGCAAGATCTTTGCAGTGTAGATATTTACAACTCAGCATTCCAAATATGCAATATTTCTTTAGGCAGGAAACAACAAGCCTTGTTGCCACCACAGATTCTTCAAGGATACCAGAAGAAGCAGTGTTTTAATATTTCCTTTCTTTGGCTCCTTTACTATGTGACACAGTTGTGTGTTCTTCCAGCTGTGTGCAGTATTTTATATTTTTGTATGTAGTTACAAAACCAGCAAACAGGAATAATACTGTGGTTTTTTAACTCAAGATAAAATCAGAATCACAGCAAATCAATCTGACAAGCATTTAAAATCAAGTGTAGCTGCTCATAAGTATTTTTTTAAAACTGTAATGTAAAGAAATTTTTATTATATGAATCTACTGTTATTTTAAACAGAAAGCTTTTCTGTGTTCATTAATATTGCTGACTATAGTCTCCTAAGTTGATTGATTTGCAGAGGTGTGTGCAACTATTTT